TAGCAAGGGGGGCAGCGGTTGGTTGCGTTTTTGCTAGTACTATGTATCAAAAATTAACTACTAAAAAAGCTATTGCGATAGCTACAGCTAGTGTAGCAGCTACTACAGCGTTGGCAGTTACTACTAGCGATATATATTCTCCCCCACCTTCGGGTGTTCGAGCTTATAATAATAATTATAACCGTAGGTATCTCTAGCTAGCTGCTTGCTTAAGTAACGATACGCAGTTATTTGCTAAGAGCTAACTTACCTAGCTAGTATTTAAAGCGTTAGCCCGTCAGTTACGGTAAGTCTGTTGTAATATAGATAACCTAAAGTAACGAAGTAATAGAAAATTAAAACGCTAGCTAAAACGCTACTCTGTCTTCTATCTTAATTCGGAAAAGTAAAACCGCAACCCCTGACGACTAATACTACTAGGCCAGTCAAGAGGCGGCGCAGGACAAAAGAAGGCGGACAAATGACCCCCGCGTTGCTTGATAGCGAGGCTTGTATGATCTCAGTATACTTGGGAGATGAAATAACCCGCCGTACTAATACTTTAGTTATTACTGGAGTAGCTCTTTAAGAGCCACTGCTAGAAAATGAATGGGTACGATTGTCCCAAAGAAGGATGCATAGCAGAAGTGATGGAGCACTAACACGTTTGCATTTCATGGAAATTTGACAATCAGGGGATGAGGTATTACGCACTTGACCAAGTAGATACGAAGACCATTCCCCAAGGGTTACCCTAGAAGGCCGAAGACCGAAGAACGACCACACTAGACCGAGATACCAGATCTATCTACAATGAGAGTGCAGGAAATGAACCTGTTGTACGTACTACAAGCTCAAAGATATATAAACAGTCACTCTTCCGCCATACCATCGTCATCACGAACAACAGCCATCATACTCTTTTAAACTATTCCCACGACTTTCGCTAATCGTCTTTACGACTACACACTCTTTCAACCCAAACGCAACCATGCAATTCCGCTCCATCATCCTCGCCGCCACCGGCCTGCTTTCTGTTGCCTACGCTGCCCCAGCTACCGGCAACGTTGTTTCTGAAAACCCGCTCTTCACTCGCCAGTGCCAACCAACTGGATTTTGCGCAAAGTCCGTCGATGCTTGCACTCAGCTCCAATGCTGCTCCAATGCGAAGCAGGTAAGAAACAACATTTAATTCCCTCCTTTCTCCATCTTCTTGGAATGACAAGAAACGACTATTCGGAGAGAAACAAACTAATGACCATTTATAGGGCGATGGAACTGGCTGCTGCTGTGTCTAAATCTTAAGGAAATGCCGGGTACTTTCTTGAGACTGGAAGAGGGAAGGGTGTCAGGTTTTTAGGAGGTTTGGTGCCGAAGAAGCTTCCTCCATCGTTTTTCTTTTGCTTTCCGAGAATATCATGTGTGGTGAATTTGAAATCAGAGAAGCTTAATAAGCATACATTCAATTCAAATCCATATTTTCACGTGAAGAGTTGCTTGCTATTTTTGACAGGAAGTACCGCGATTCCGATATCATGCTAATAATTTATGAACAGCGCTGCGGAGGTGTGCAATTCTGGCCATGTATCATTCTACCTGCTCAATAACACACCTGGCCCTTTCAGTTTACCCGACTGGACCAGCTAATTAATAGTATCTCCTTTGTATGTATTGTAACCGCTACCCACCGCCATTATCAACGCGAATGAAGAAGATCTAGTCGCCACCACCTTACTAATGCCAACTAAGAAAGAGATTCTCAACATCATAGCTTAGCTCTGATAGTTAAACAGCACTCAACAGAGGTTGAGGCTTTGGCTGCATATCACTCTGGCTATTCACTCACCCAGCTGCCCCAGCTGCCCCTTTACTCCAATTACCACTCTTCTACTTAACCTCGCTACTCCAGCTACCATACCTATGACCAGCAGCGAGATTAAAACGTCAATGTCAATTACGTGTCCCCACCATGCCAGTCCATTTCTAACACCAAAAGTAAGGCTTTTTTGAACCCACTTACCTTGTATGAATCTATCTTTACGAAAAAAAACTACTTAGACTTATGAAACTATGCAACTGAATCTTGCCATATCATCTTATAAGAAAAAAAACAAGAGTAAGCATATGAATGTGTAACATATCCATACATGCCCGTATACGCTAGCACAACACACTATTTACATCCCTATTCTCACCCCGCTTATCCCTACTATACCCTATCTCTCTTTAATATCACTAATAATTTTTTACTATGTCTACACCCTGCACCGCAATTGGTCCTTGCAACCGAGAAAAAAAGTAATTCGTGAATATACATACCTTCTATCCAACCACTCCCCACCTACCTACCTCCTTTCTATCCCATCCAAGTACACGTATTTATCTTATCAACACACCCATATACATGCGCACACTGACTCCACGTCACCCATAAACAATATAACCCACAGCTACACCGTCCCTTTCCCCATCGCCCCTTCTTTTTGCATACTGCCCTCAAGAAAAGAAAAAAGCGAACACTTGACTCACCGGAACACTACAAGCGGTGTGTCTCATCCCGATTTTTTTCACTTCACCTTTTTTTCTCGACCCAGCAGTGTGGCATCGCGAGATGTCGTGCATACATTCCGCTAGTGCTAGCTCCCTCCCCTTTTCCCTTTTCCCTTTTCCGCGTTGCAGAAAAAAAAATGATTACAATCAGCCGGGAGATAGAGACATGGGTGAGTGGGCACATGGATCATGTAGCCGTGATTGTTTTCCGGGTAACAAACATGGGCCCCACTGACAGCACACATAGTCGATGTAGCTGCAAGTATCATGTGCGGTTAGCAAAGGCACAAAAAATATTGAATGTTTCATGTGTGAATATCCTAGAAAGAGGAGAGGGCAATGTTATCACCGAGGTTTCAATGCCCTTGAATATTCCCGAGTCTCATGCGAGAGAGAAACAAGAATGCTTTTTTTTTACGCCTCCCGAGACTTGAAGTAACCTTGTTATACCCGAATCTCAAGCGAGCACACGAAAAGGGAGGGTAAGATGCGAAAACAAAACCATGACTCGAGCCTTTTCAGCCTCAACCTCAGCCGTTGGTAGTCGAACAAAAAAAAATTCATAGCAGCAAGTGGTGTGATATCCGTGTGTCCCCCCAACGGCCTTCTACTAGTCGTATACAACATAGTAGTCCATTAGTCCGTGCCATGGAAAACTTTTCCATGGTTCAACACAATATCAAAGAACAGTCCGGGCACAACTCGGCGAAAGCAACCCCCCACCACCACCACTACTCTAGCATTACTCGCGCTTCTGCCGTTGTCAAAGAGTTCAAACCAGGATCAAGGCAACATGCACCATCGGGCGACGGGATGCCATGCATTAGCGCGCATCCAGGCAAAAAAAAAAAAAACTTTTGATTTTTCCTTGAATTTGACATTTGGGCCCTACCCGCAGTTAAGCTCGTCGCGGCTTCAGGGCGAGTAAAAGTGTTACGGGGCTTTCGTACGAAGGGGGCATACGACGGGGTAAGTAAAAGTACTGGAAGAAAAAAAAATTCATCATCACAATCAAACCACCCACCCCCCCTTCCCCAATTGCCCACATATTACCCGAAAACTCCTCACAATGAACAAATCACGAGATAAAAGAAAACCGGCAAGTAGATGAGGTCATTCGGCAAAGTAAAAAGAGAAGGAGGAAGGGGGGGGTGGTGGTTGTCTAGCCCTCGGAACACATACACACACACACACACACACACACACACACACACACACACACACACGCGGTAGTGTAAGCACGGAAAAGCCAGTCATCACATGCTCGGATAAAGCCAATTCTATCAAACACGTGATAGACCAATCAAAGAGATCTAGATTTCTGCCGCACACAACCTTACCCGCAAAAAGCCGTTGGAGGGATTAAGTAAGCGGGTGTATATGGTTCGCCCGAGGCTCGGGGGGTGGGGGGTGGGGGGGAACAGACAACGAGGAGACACAAAAAAAAAGGATCGACCGCATGACGTATCCAAAGCGGAAAGGACGTCGATCCCCTAGATAGGGAAAGTCTCTCTCAGTATGTGGCGATAAGATAGCGATAATCAAAACGTTCCGAGGCAAGCGAGGCGAGACGTTGAGAAGAGTGGTGGTGTCATAGACCCTGCATATATATCTCTCTCTGTCTGTTTGTTTGCGACATGTGGTATGTGGAAAGCGAGATGATGGCGTCAGAGGTTTTAAACGGTCTCTTGCTTATCGAGACCCCACCCCTTCCCTAGGTGATGACAACGAGATTACGGTGAATGACGGACGGAAAAGGTCGGAGGTAAAGAAACGGAGGAACGTATTGGGGGTGTGTGCGCGCGCGCACACAAAAAACAACGTGCGGATAAGGAGATAAGTAAGAGAGAGGGCTGTGAGACATGCATCCATGAATGTATGATGTGAGCGCATGGTAGATGGATTAACGGATATAGGATATATACGACGGGGGAGAAGCAAGTCTGCTGAGCATACTTGCATATTGTTTTTTCTGTTATCGCCGGTATGACTTTTTGTTTTCTCTCTTTACTCCGGGCTAAATCCGGGCGCGCAAGCGAGCCCCCCAAAACCCCACCCTGGGGAAGGAGAGGGGGGGGGGGGGCGGCCAGATGATCTACATAACTTTACACATCTGGCATCGCGCGCTACGTTACTGTAAGTCGTCAAATTGTCTCGCAAAAAAAAAAAAGGTTTGACAAGGGCCGTTCAAGCCACACCTTAGTCACCTTGGCTTTTTCCCCCCAAATGGGCGTGGGGCAGTTGTGCCGAGCGTGGCAAGGCTGTGCTCTTTTTGCTAAGTATCAATTGCTTGGCCTTGACGAGTATACTTAGTAAAAAGTTGACGCGTATAAGATGAGTAGCGGGGTTTTAAGGGGGGGCAGGCTGTCTTGATGTTGATATTGAATCGCTTGGTTGAGCACTGCCCACGAGGGTTGGGGCAAAGGCGATGGCTGAGGTAATGGTCAGATTGGGGCTGCCTGAGGTGCAGAGCATTGCCTTGTTTGGTACGCCAGGCTCCCTTAATTGATAGTGCATCTTCTCCGCGTGGAGAAGAAAGGGGCTCTTTTGCTGATGAGGAGCAGAGTCGAGACCGCCGCATGCGAGACAATTGCCAACTCACACCGAGTAGTGAATAGGGGTGGGCAAATGACAAGGAGAGCGACAAAAGGATGTTTGTGGACATAGAGTCAGGGGAGAAGGGGGGTCTTCGCTTCACTTGAGCCCTGCATTATGCTGCTGGGCATAGCAAGATTGGCGCGCATTCGGCCAGGTGTTCATTCTACTCTACTTGAGCCGTGGGTGAGACAAGTAGTAAGAATGTGTGTAAGGGGGGGATGTAGGTACGTAGCATCGCATGCGTAGCTTGACTGCGCTGGCTCATAGGCTACACCGCTGCACATGGACACACGCACACAGCGCTACAGGCGCCGAAACGCCATGTTGAAACCTGCTTTGACCGCGCAACGCGCACCGCCCTGTTTTGGTCTCATTAACGTGTAGCTGGGTATGCGCTGCTCTGCCTCGCATTTGACGCCCATGCCACGTTGTTGTTTCGCGACATGTGTCGCATAGAAGAACGGAGCGGGTACCGCTGTGGAGAGCGCGGGGAAGAGTAAGAGAAAAAAGGGCGGCTAGATCAGGGCTGAAACTTGGGCGGCATTGACCTTGTTTTTGGTGTTTCCCGTTGTAGTAATTCCCGGACAAAGTGTGGGCATCGAAAGCAGCGGAATCGGGCGCAGATGAAGGTGCAAATGAATGATGGCATCTGTTTGCAATACGGATCATCGCACCCCAGGAGTTCCGCTCTGGCCCGTGTTTCGCCTGATCGGATCATCCAGACTACCGACCCTCCTCCATCGAGACGACCGATCTAGGTCCGACCGGAACTCTCAAGAGCCCGAACCCCCTGGCACCATCCCACGTCCTACCACTACGTACGGTTACGCCCGTATGCTCGCCAGAGAACCATGGCTGGAGACCTGGCCGTATTAATCCGGCCAACGGCGGCGTGCGGTGTTGCACATGCTAGTGTATTCGCTCGAGGCAGATGTTCCGCGTCACCTGGCCATCCAGTGCAGACACGCGGGCCCGCCTGCAGTGAGTCAATGTATTGTCGAATATGCGAGGACACGAATGTGTGGGTGTGTGTGGGTGTGGGTAATTTTCCATCCTGACCACAAGCAACAATGTTGCCTGGCTTGCCCGCTCACCGGAAAAAGGCCTTTTTTTGATTAGGCAAGCGTTACGAGGCAGCAGTCGCATTTCAGCCATCCATGTGTGCGTGCCTTGGGCCTATGCGATTATCCACATCCCACCAGGTGCCACCGCCTACGGGACTATGCGCAAACACAAGGGACCAGGGTCTGCCGCATTGGCCAAAAGTCGGTCAACTCAAAACTTTGCACCGCTGGCCCCAGTGCGACGGTTTTTCTAGCCTCGCATGTCAAACAAAGCGTGTGAATGAGGTGGTGTGATTAGCGTGCAGATGGCGCTGAGATAGCAGACCCGTCACCTGATGCATGTGTGCAGATCGGTTTTTAGAGTAGTACCATGATTGATCTTTGATTCATGTTCTAGCTAAGGGCGGGAGTCTCGACCAATCTGCTTGGGAGATGTCAAACCGCCGGTACCAAAATGTCCCCAAATGTCTCTGTCCTCCCATAGTACCAATGCTCCAGAGTAGAGTAGTAGCTTCCTGATGTCCTTGTTGACACTTCTCACCGCCCTGCGGTCCATGCCAATATACCCACAAACAAACAAACAAAGCCTTGTCAATAACAAAAAGAAAACATACAAAGGATATCATGCCCAAGAAAATGCCACGCTATGCTGTAAAAATGACTCGCTCGCTAAAAAATGCTGGATCGGAAATCATGAGGTCGGAACATGTCCAATGTGCTGGCCTAATAACTTGAGATGAGCGGAGAGCTGGTGTCCATGAATAGTGGCTGGTCGTGTTCCAGGTATTGTGGCTTGGTCTTGGTGTCGTAGAATGTCGTCGTGAGCATGCCCTCCTTGTCGGAGAAGTTGAGCGTTGATTGTGGTGGTGATGTGGGTGGCGACTCGTCGTCCGACTCGTCTTCGAATGTGAGCTCGGGTGGTGATTGCGATTGCGAAGGTACACGGGTAAGAGCGAGTTCAGAGTGGTCTTCCATGTCGTCGTAGAAGTCGTCCTCGTCCTCCGAGTCGTCTCCGTCAACCTCCATTGTGCTGATTTGAACGGGTGCTGCGGCGATGCGACGGGGCATGGGGATCATGTCAAAGTCGTCTTCGTTGTCCGAGTCGGAGTCGGAAACGGATTCGTCGTCGTCTTCGTCGTCGTCGAGCTCCTCAGCAATGCTGTCGGCCCACTGGATGTGTCGGGGCTCCTCAGCCTTGGAAGCCTTTGCCATGGTCTGGTTGAACCACTGCTCTTGCTGGCGCTCGGCGTCTTGGAGTTCAATCATGAGGCTGTCGAGGAGGTTTGCGTGTCCGACGAGCAGGCGGAGGTTGTGGTCGGCCCTGCATGCCTCCTTGCCGAGCTTGGAGCGGGCAGAGGCAGCAATGTAGTACGTCTGGGTGAGAGACATCTTTTGCTTCTTGGCTGGTGGTGCGGCGACGAAGTGAGAGCGAGTGGTCTCGGCCGTGAAGGGCTCAAAGGAGGTTTGGATGCGGAGGTGCGATGAAGAAGGCATGGCTGCTGGTTGTAGGCACAAAGTATAAGAAGGGCTGGAAAATGTGAGTCAGTTTGGTTGTGACTGGATAGTGGCCGGGGTATGACGAACCCGTTGCGCAGTAGCCAGATTGGGGGAAGGTGATGCGAGGCTGCGATGTCGATGCAGTGTGTCCGAGTCCAAGTGGAAGGTTGGTCGAGCTGATGTCAAGACTGGTGTGCTGTGGTTTGGTGGAGCTGGTAGTGGAGGGCCAAAAGCAGCAGAGGGCGGGCGGGCGTGTTTCTTTATGTTTCCCTGACGCATGGCGGACGAGCATGATGGATAACGGGCGGGCGGGACTGTTGGCGTGTTTCCACCGCTCTTGGCCGAGCAGTGCTCAGCGCAAGGACGGATGCGGTGAGCTAGCAGAGGATGATTCACACTGCACGACAGGGGTCCTAGCGTGGCTTACGATACCCTGCCTGTCTCCGTCGGACGTAAAGACTTTCGCCCGTCACCACGCGGAGCCCGAGCAGTGCGTGCGTAGTGTCGTCGACATGGGACATGGACCTGCCTAAACGCCGTCGTCCAAACTTTCTTTACTCCGTCGGCGTTTACTGTCCACCACCGTTCGAGGCATCCATTGCATCATCTATTCGTCCGCCCTGCTTGTATGCCTGCAGTGTGTCTGCCTGGCCGCCTGCCTGCTTTTCGTTGCTTTTGGCGTGTTCGCTTTCGCCTCACCTTGCGCACCTTGGGCCGACCCTGCTGCCACTGTCTGGGGGGCTCATTGTGCGCTGTCCGGCTAGAGGGTGTGCCTTGGGCGAGATGGAGCCCTGCCAGGCTGCCTGCGTGCTGGCTGTGGTTCCGGGATGCGCTGTCGTAAGGCTAAGCCACGGGCCTCCCCACAGGCTGAGCGGTCAGCCCTTCATCTGTGGCTGTCGCGACGCGGCCCCCATCAGTGTCTTGCCTCTTACACCCTTCATTCGACTGCTAGTAGACGGCTGGGCGTTGCAAGGCTGCTCGGGCCCGAGTCGACTGCCGGCGCCAGTCCTGGTATTACTCTCACCCTCTTGACTGCTGTCCTAAAGTTTCTCGTACATGTACACGTCCAGATCAGCCAATCTCGGCAGGTCAGCCACACCGGCGACTGGCTGTCCTTGGCTCGCCTATCCGGCACGGTTGGTGCGGAAAAGCACTGTTCGGCCGACGAGTACGAGAGAGGCAGAGAACCTTGGTTACCTGGGTACTCGGGGTTCCGGTGATCCATTCAACTTTCGTCCGTCTACTATGCGTGTTCCCTCGAGTGCTTCAGTCGCTGCCAGAAGCCACGATGCACGTCACATGCACTCATCTGCCACTCACTTCGACTCTTGCGCACGCATCCCCGCCTCTGGCCGTCTCATTACGACACGGTCCGGTCCAGGCTCATCGCACAATTGTCCTTAATGGCACATCTAAAACCCCGATGACAAACACTGCTGCCCGCGTCGTGCTGTAGGGCGCGCGGGATTGGTGGAGACGTCGGCTTTGTCATGTGTGCTGAAAAATGCCATCTGACAAAGCCGCTAATTAGCAAGCCTTGCATGAACCGCTAGACTTCCAAACACATTACTGTTCTTCATACTGGATTGCAAATCTTGAAATTGCGTGCTTCTGTCCGACGTCACTCGCCCTCTCCACCCGTTGGGCGCTTCTGCGACACGAGGCAGCGTCGCCCTTCTCGCTGCCCGGCTGGCCGTCGACTCGTGACCAAAAGCTGCTACACGACTACACCGTGTCGTGCCAGAGCCAGAGTCAGATCCAGGGACCGGCCAGGGACGTCGTGGCCGTGCGCCTTCAGCACCTTGTCCCCGCTCCGCCCTTTCCACTGCACTGGCGCACCACTTCAAGGACGAACGATCCTAAATGAGCCAAGGCCAACCCATGGGCCTCTCCGCATGTCGCTACCCGTGCCTTTTCCGAGCATGCGCATGAGTGCTGCCTACGCCCGCGACACGTATCCGCTATCCACTTCACCGCTGTCTTCGTCTCACCCTAGACAAAACTACGCGATTGCCGAGTCTATGGCTGTCCGCGCTACGCACACTGCGGCACCGTAGCAACGTAACGCTGCCATGCCACGGGCTGTCGTGTCGATACAAGATGAGTCGACACCAATTGCCAGATGCAGCATGGAGCCCAGCCCAGCCCAGCCCCGCGCGACTAAGCCACCACAGCTCGACTCCTCCTCCTCCAATACCGCGCCAATATATTACTGCAAAGCATCTATTTTCGCGACTGCGTACATACCTACACGGCACGCCTACTCATCCTTTGGGTGCAAGCGAGCGCATTCGCGTATGCGTATTGCTCAGCCCCCTCCGCATGCGACGTATTGACACACGCCTTTTCCGCGTCAATATTCGCAATTACATTACTGTTTTTGGCAGACGCTCAGATCACAGCCTTCGTATAGCCGATGGCTGGGAAACGGCAAGCCACGCTTCCATGCTTCCGCTTCGAGTAATCTTCTCGAAGGCCCATTGCTTCCACCAACACTCACTAGCCCACCACAACCATGCACCGTACCTTTCGACTGCGTCACGCCGCATGCTTCGATGCGTTTTCCCTTGATGCATTACCCATTGTTTCTTCTATGCATATTGCTGACACTCCTATCCTACCCGGTTCTTAACGACGTCTTGCGCGACCCCTGCTGATTTCTGAGCAACCAACCGACAACCTTAATGCATCACTAAGCATCTATCGTCTCACCATTGGCTCCCAACGTTCACACTTGAATTCTCTGCTCAACGCTAATCACCTGTATCATACCATGGAGGAATCGTACGAGAAACTCGTACAGTCTGAAGCTTAACAAACCCCACAACACAAACACTGGCAGCGGCAGCGGCATGTCGTCACATTGCGCAAGCGCTTTCAAATGCATTGTCAATGCTTATTCAAGGTGAAAAAAAGGACGGTATCGAGGCCTCGACTACCATGCCATTTGTTAGTTGCCCACAGAGTCAGCGTCTTGCGTACGCCTTTGACGTACTTGCTATCGAGAGTCTAGACTACGACATGATAAGCACTCAATCGCGATCGACCCAAACTTGTGGAATCTGTCACTCCCGTCAACGATGTCATGGAAGCGACTAAAAGCAATCCGGTTCTAGACCTTTTGCCCAGGGCCTGGCAACTTGCTTTTGATCGGATTGATCTACAGTTGTACCGACAAGAAAAGTCTCGGGGGAACCGAATCAGACAAAGAGTCCAAACCTCCAAGATTCATCACGAGAGCAATCGCAAGGCACTCTACCAAGAAATCAGTGTATCATCTGACTATGCTTGGTGAGAGGATGCTGTCTCAAAGATCGACTGGTAGCCGGATACACTAGACCTATCCCTACCCCAGACGCGCAAAATGAGGGACGCTAACAATCTGTTTCCGAGTGGTTCATAGCTTGCGTTTGGAAGCCCTTGCTGCCTTGTTTCGACACACAATTCTGCCTGGATCCCCAGTACAGTTTGGTTTCCCTTTGACCGTTTCACGTCCGTACTCTCTCTGGATTATGCCTGCAATATGGCATAACAGAAAACCAGGGGGCTGGTTCAGGCATTGACGATCAAGACAATCAAGGATGGCCTGAAACTAACTCTCTTCTTCTTGACCAGGTTGCCGACTGGCGAGGACATACACGTCAAGCCGTTTACACGGACTCAAGAGTGAGGCTGTTGAGAAGTCAAGTTTGGCGAGGCTACTGAACATGGCAGGAGCCCGAGATGTGCCTGACACTAAAATCTATCATCATCCCAACCTGCACCTCAGGGAAATGCCTGTCATGGATCTCGCAACTAATAGTGATCATCTCGCAGTTTACCGCTCGTTGGGCTGCAACACCTCAAGCCGGTTTGTACCCCGCGGAACGTGCCGATAAACACCTGTGCAGGAGCCCATTACCAACCCCCCTGAAATGGTTCAACCCAGTGGTTGAACCCACATAGTACGTGCGTTCAGTATGGCCGCGATGACTCTGCAAAATATGCCCAACTGGGCTTCCAGGAGATCAACATATCCCACTAGAAATCGTTGGTGGCTGGTGTTTGGATTGATGCCGTACGTGTTGACACTGTTTGGGTTGCAATGGCGAGCACATACGCGACGAACCTGGTAAAACTAATAACAACATGTTTGGAACAGCTTGTCCAAGATCACATGCAAGCAATGGGCAACAAAGGATACGTAGCATGACGTAGCCATGTCCTCCAAATCAACATAGGGGATGCAATGTAAACAATGGAAGGTACCCCACGTGGCGCGGGCGTCGCGCGTTGCTACGCACGGTTAGCGCGAAACCCTTGATCACAACAAACATTGCATGTGTGTGTATCAACACCAGCCCTATCGCACCTGTATACCACAGTATTCGCCTACTAAGTTTTCAAGAGACTGGTAATCGCAAAACAATTGCATTTTCATACTAATCATGGCCGATCCGGGTATGTTCTCGGTGCGCCGCCAGGTAAGTTTATGATGTGGCCCCCTCTTGTCGCATCTTCCTTCTTCCGTCCTCGACGTCTCTAACACGACACGCAGACTCTGGGCCCCGTCAACAACAACGTATCCGCCATTCCTATGCCAGCTTCAGCCATGAAGCGCCAGAGCTCTGTACACAATATGCAACCTAACCAGTTCCCTCCGAACCATGCGCGATCGCAGAGCGGAAGTAGAATGTCCCTCGCGCCTGGTCGACCCAGCCAACAACTCTTTCAACGCTCCTCTTCCGGTACAAATCTCGCCGAAGGCTTCCAGTCAGTACACCGCAACTCGACTAGCAATTTCGCAGCAAGCAGCGCGCGCAAGAGTTTCGCGCCAGGCGCTTCCATCTTCCAAACGCCAGCATCCTCTTCAGGCCCTGCCTTTGAACAAAGCGCACAACGGAGAAGCAGTGTATTCAAATCGCGGACATCACATGCACCTGGTCAATCAGGCATTAAGCAATCCTTCTTCCAGACGGCACCTTTGCCGTCGGTTCCTCCTGCGGACCCACGACGGCTCAAGGATCCAAACACGCGCTCGCACATGGCACAGGAGCTGATGGAGTACTTGACACACAACAACTTTGAGATGGAATCCAAACACGTGCTATCCAACAAAGCCATGACGTCGCCGACCCAGAAGGACTTTAACTGCATGTTCCAATGGCTGTACAACCGCATCGACCCAAGCTACCGCTTCCAGAAGTCGATCGATCAAGAAGTTCCTGTGCTGCTCAAGCAAATGCGGTACCCATTCGAGAAGTCCATTATGAAGTCACAAATTGCAGCTGTTGGCGGTAACAACTGGTACACATTCCTGGGACTGCTTCATTGGATGATGCAACTCGCACGCCTTATGCAGGCATTCGAGGCTGGTACATACGATGATGCTTGCTTCGAGGCAGGCTTCGATGTCTCTGGAGACCGTATCATCTTCGATTTCCTGTCCGATGCTTACAGCACCTGGCTATCAGCTGATGACGATGACGACGACGAAGAGGCACAAAAGAAGCACATGGAGCCTCACATTAGGACAATGGCCGCCAAGTTTGATGCGGCAAACGCTCAACATCTCGAACAAGTCAATCTTCTAGAGGCTGAGCACAAGTACTTGCAGGATCAAATTGAGGAGCTGGGAAAGTCTGGCCCACGGATACAGAAGCTCGAGGAGCAAATACGCATTTTGGAAGAGGACCGGGTCAAGTTTGAAAACTACAACAACTCAATGGAGTCAAAGGTCAAGAAGTACACTGATCGATGTTCTTTCTTGGAAAAGTCGATTGAAGAGATTGAGGCAGAATTGGAAGCATCAGAGAAAGAGCAGCAAGAGCTTCAAGCCATCATTGACGGCCGAGGCATGACCATTGCAGACATTGACCGCATGGCAAACGAAAGGGACCGTCTTGACTCTTCTCTTCAGGCAACATCCGCACGCCTCGAAGAGTCTAAGAAGCGTGTTGCTGAAAAGGAGATTGCTGCCTCGCGAAAGCTCGACGAGCTTGAACAGACTATTGAGCGCTACAACAACCTTGGCTATCAAATCGGCGTCATTCCCTCAACAGCCGTCAACGCAAAGGGCCAAGAATACGAACTCGTCCTTACCATAACGGACGCACCCAACTTTTCCGGCTCTCAAATGGGCGGCTCATCACAAGACGCCTCAGATCGTCTCCTCCACGACTCAGGAACGGGCTACTCTCCCGCCCACCTCCTCAATCTCGACCTCCGCGGCACTGTCAAAGCCAACATCCTCTCTCTTCGCAAGGAAATCGCCGAGCGCCGCAACCAAGCTCTGGAAGCCGACATGAACAACCACGACCTCCTGGACAAGATCAAAGAAGCCATGGACGACAAGCAAGCCGAAGTCGAAGCCCTAGGCCACCGCGTCGCCCAAGCAGAAGAAGAACTAGAGAAACTGCGTGAAATCACAAACACGCAAAAGAGCCAGTCGGACGCTCAGATTGAGCGCATGGAGAAAGAACTAGGTCGTATGCGTAGCGGACTCGGTGAATCCGTCCAATTAATGGTTCAGCGCGAAATGGCCGTTAACATTGAGTACGTTTTCTTCTTCTTCTTCTTATTCCCCCTTTCCCCATCCATCATCCACAACCATAGAAGAAAAGCGTATACTAACAAGTTGTGACTTAGATACGAACAACTTCAACTCCGCGCCAACGCCCTCCGCGAGGAACTCCACACAGAAATCGAGCGTATGCTCGACGACATTGTACGCTTCAAGCTGCACGTCCAAAAGTCGCTCGAGGAGTACGAGCAATTTATCGCTGATGAGGTTGAGAGGTCTTGTGAGGAACAGGATTTACTGGCGGCCCAGGATGAGGATGATGATGATGCCGGGGGCGTGGACAAGGAAGAGGAGGATGAGGAAATGGAAGATGCGTAAGGTGTTACGAGTATTTCCTATTCTTTGTTCTTTGCGTGTTTAATGCGGTTAATGCGGTTTCACGACATCACGAACGGAGTCCCCTTGTTCCTTTTGGGTTGGTGGTTGGCGTAACTGAGGATTTATTCCCCCTCCCCTTCCCTTCTTCTTGAGATACCTAAACCTTTTTTGTGTTTTATTTTCATCTAACTATATCGATTCTTTTTATATTGAATACATATTCACACGAATCGCAAACCTTTTGCCATCGCGACCATCAAGTTATCATGTTGAAGAATGAAAAAGAAACAAACACTTTTAAGAGTTGGATATTCTTCTATATTCGTTTGAAAATGGCTGAATGGGGGGTATCTAAAACATGCGAACATGTACATCTCTCTCTCTCTCTCTCTCTCTCTCTCTTATACACCAAACCAAAAAAAGGCATCAAAAAACCCTCAAACTCTGTTCAACTCTCCATCAAGCCCCTCCCACTCGTCAACATAAGATTACTCAACAACTCAACCTGACTCTTCAGTCCGGCCATCTCAATCGTCTTCTCCTTGACTTCCTTTGTCTTATCAGCGAGTAAGCGGCGCAACTCTGCATTTTCACGGCGCAAGCGCAGAACTTGGAGTGTTGTTGCTGTTCCTGTTGCTGTTCCTGAGGGATCGGGCGAGGAGGGCGAAGGGGGTGGTAATGGAGGTAAAGAGGAAGAAGGTGGTAGAGTATCAACGAGGGAAGGGTCGATTCTGGAATCTTTTCGTGTAGGGGAGGCGGGTTTAGTGGGAGGAGAACGGTGATGATGATGAGGAGGAGGGGGAGGGGAAAAAGTGGGAGGTGGTTGGATGTGTGACTGTGACTGTGACTGTGATTGTGGGTGGTGGGATTGCTCGGGCGCTATTTGAGGATCAATGTCGTCGTTTGGAAGAGTAATAGTAGCATGAGGGGGGTCCTGAACCTCGTCATTTGAACTGTCACAGCCGTCACCGAGTTGCTGGCCTGCTGCTTTTCGCGCGCGCTTGATTTGCGCGCGGATGTTGTAGACGTCGCGCTTGAGAATGTGGATACCGGGGAGTCGTCGTTGGAGGACGTCGACGGTTCTTCCTACGCCACGGTCGCGGCCTTGGTTCGGTTTACCCTTGCGGAGCATCTCTTGTTCAACGATTTTCCAGACTAGGCCCCCGCGTTCGAGACTGTGTGTGGCGGGCTTTTGGGTTGGTGATTGGGGTTGTGCGTAGTCGTCTCCTGCCTCGGCGTCTACGTCCACGTCCTCCAGTATATCATTTGTGCCAGGGAGCCGCCGTTTGGCAAGTTCCTCTTTTGCTGTTACACCTCCAACGCCAATGCGCCCTCCGACAAGACCCCAGGTCCTCTTTCGTTGTACTGCCCACCCCGCACTGTCTCGACCAGGATGATTGTGTTGCGCCTCGCCAACACGCAGCAGCCACGTCCCATCCTCCAGCTTCTTACCCTCGATCCACATCTTACAACCCGTTTTATAGCTGACTCTGTTTTTCCTAACCCGCGTCTCGGCAGTCAACTTGTGCGTGTTCTTGGGCTGGCCATAGCAGACACAGGCGAGCTTGATACGAGAGCGGTTCTTAGCCGTCGTATTGATACTGAGTGCATAGCCATGCTGAGAGGCATGTGACTGGGCGTATTCGTGGAGAGCCTGCCATGAGGTGTGTACCGAGTCCTGAGGAGGCAGCATATCGAAATGCTGTTGGCTGGACGCGTCACTGTGGGCGGCGAGCAGCGCTGAAGTGTGCGGAAGGCGCGCATATGGCACTTCCGGTGCCGGGCTAGCAATCGTACAAGCATCATGGGGGCGCGGGGAAGAATGATGGCGCTTCTGTCGCTTGTTCGGCGTGTCGTCATCAGGCGCGTAGCAGTCTTGTCGGCGCGGCTGACCGTCGGCGCTCATTTGGGACGGCTGCGCATTGACGGAGGCCTCATCGTCGTAGTAGCCGGCCATATTGACGAGGTGGGCAGCGACATGATGGCGCGAGGGCGCAAAGCCATGGTAGGGCAGCGGTGGGGTGGCAGGGCCGATGGCGTGGTTGTACGTGGGGGATTCGTCCCAGGTGTGACGCTGGCCGAAGATGGCCGTCATGCTGCGTCGACTACTGTGGCCCTCTGTTCTGCTGCGCTCTAGGTTCGGCCGCGGCCACAGGCATCGGGGGCGGTTCGTCATGGTCTGCGTACATTGCACGCTCGATGTAAATTGCTTGCCATGTGTGCATTGGGTCATATTAGAACCGTGCCTCGAGGTATACAACATTTCCCGTTCTGGTACATTGTCGTTGGTGCAGCAAGCCCATTGGTCAACTATTACGACAGCCATTTACAAGCCAAAAGAATCGCCTCCTCACTCTCGCAACATTACATCCACCCACATATCCTTAATGTCCCACAGTCCAAGCGAGTTGAACGTCTTCCAGGGCTGCAGTGGATACGTCAAGGCCAGATCAAAGTTCCTCAACAGCTCAAACACAGCCTTGTGTATCTCAATCAACGCAACATTACGCCCCAAGCACACCCACCGACCATAGCCAAAGATCAAATCGTTAGTCTTGATCATCTTGGCCAAACGCTCCTTCCCTGCCTCATCTGCATCATCAACGAGCCATCGTTCGGGCCGGAAGACGGTGCAATCTTCCCCATAAACAGCACGGTTGTTGCAATGCATCGTCCAGGCTGAGTATCCGATCAAGGTGCCGCCGGGGATAAAGTACTCTTTTCCGTTAATAATAGCAACATCTCCTTCATCAGGGGCAACTCTTGAAAAGATGTTAGCAACAGGAGGGTGCACCCGCATCCCCTCTCGAACCACGGCACCCAGGTACGGCAGGCGACGCGCTTGTGCATCCGAAATGATACCTGGAGAAGCTGGGGCTTTGCCACTCTGGACTGCTTCGTCAATCTCGGCCTGCAGCTTTGCATATACGCGGGGGTGGTTCATAAGATAAAGCAAAATGATTCGGATAGCTGCGGCCGTGGTGTCAGAGCCAGCAAGGATCTGTTCAAACACTTCTTGGACTAGAACAAGAAAAGTCAGCCCACTATCTGCCCACGCCTAGACCAGTAGCATCACTTACAGAGATCGTCTCCTGTGAGGCCGTGGCGGACAAAGGATGCAAACATGTCCGACTTTTCCTCGGTTGACTTCAAGCTTCTGGAAATGATAATCTTGCGTGCCTGGGCCATCATGTGGCCAAACCCAGTGGTATCCTTTTCAGAAGGGCTAATGGCAGGCCCAATAACAGGCTTGTCCTTTAGCCAGGCTATTCCCATGGCAAATGCTGTGTTGCCAATCTTCAGCCCTTCTCCACTTGACCTGATGTAGTTTTTAACATCGCTGTCGGCTTTCAAGTCTCCAAATGGTTCTCCCAGACTGATATGGCTGATGACATCCAAGGTGAAGAACGGAATCTTCTCCGCCAAATCCATGTGGACCGACGGGGCCGTTGAAGCCGCAGGGGATGCATATTTGCGTACCAAGTCTATGAGTTCCTTGACGTGCTGGTCAATTGAAGGCTCCAATGTCGGATTCTCTTTTCCAGAGTACTGGGACGCGTTAGCGACGAAGCCACCAACAAGTCAATAAATCTACTCACGCCGGCAAGCATCTTTTTCCGACGCGCGTCGTGCCGGTCGTTGTCGCATTCGGTAAAGACATTGTCTTTGCCCGTCTCGAAGCGGGCGGCGTGATAGAACCATGGAGATCGCCTATACGGGGAGCGCACGGCGTTGATGCGTATCCAGAAGTCTGGGTCAGAGGTGATGAGGTGGTTGGGTGCGATTCTCACGATCGGGCCTATATCGAGCAGAGTTAGGACTTTTCAGGTGTCACATCCGATGCGGTTGAATGCATACCGAATTTCTCACATACTTGGCCGTAGTACCTAGGGGATTCGCCGCTGAGTACAGCTCTGGAATGCCACAGCCAAGAGAAACCCGTTGTCCTGGGACCGGCGAAATGTCTCAGACGCAAGTACTGGCGGATGCGGCCAATAACGAAAAGAAAGCCCAGGGCGAATACGATGGCCTGCAGGCGCCGTGAGACATTATTGAGCAAAGAGCCCTCGGCAATGTTGTCCATGGCTCGCTAGGAGTGGAGATGGCAGGCAAGGATGTGCTCGTTTCTTTTGCTGATAGTTGATACAAGTGACGAGTTGGCGTTGTCGGTGGGGCACCCACTTGTGTGACGAAGGGTGCAGCGCGATGCACGAGCAGGAGAGTGGAGTATGGACAAGAGGACAACAGTGGAGTGCCGATGCTCTGCAGCTGCTTTGGGGAGCGGGCTGGTGTTGTGGCGGACCGCGAATCGGTAGACAGCAGGAGAAGACGCCAAAGAGGCAAGCTACTACGGGACGGCGGCGAGCTGGCAAGCTTCCATTGAGACCGGCCGGCGACGCACAAAGCTGGAAAGGGCATGCACATGTTTGGTTCCTGGCAGAGAGTAGCGGGAGGCTAGCCAAGATGGTTAGAGGCATGGATTGGCATGGTGCACATCCGAGTGGTCGCCACTGTCCAAGTCGCAAGCAGAGTGTGTGCCGTGTACATACATACCATGCAATACACAGGCCCTGTGAGGTTGTGCAAAGCCGACAGCCGTTTGGACAAGCCAGATGCGGATGCACCCAAAGGCCTTCACCTTCGCCTTCGCTTGATTGCGCAGCCACATGGGCCATTGCCATCCGCCAGAGGCCCCCGCCCTGGCCGCTCCATGCCAACGAATCGCCTTGCGCTGATGACTCCGCTCGACATGTTGGATGCAGATTCCATGGACAAATCCCCGAGTAGCTTCACCCAGAACGGTCCAGTCCGCAGCATGTTCGCGTCCAGAATCCCACAAGCCGCGTTTTTCTTTTCGCTGTCCCCGTCGCCCACGCCATCGCAATGTCATAGCCTTCATGTTCTAGCCGCCAGGGGCTCCCCGCCCACCATCATTACACCCCCTCTGCATATCTATCTTCACCAGCCTCATGCGTATTTCAGGCTCCCTTCTCGTTTCTGCACTCAGCTTCCTCTGCACTTGTCTTGCCACCAGACACCATCCATCAAGGAACGAACAAAGTCAAAGCCCAGGCGCCACTGACAGACTCGCTTATCGTAAGTACGGGTATACTAATCCATTTCGGCCCGTTGCTGTACTTATGTACGATTGAGGCACAGTAGCGGCAGCCCACACGTGGTAAAACAAGGGACAGCCGCTCCTAGAGCGCTTGGTTTCGAAGCATACAAACCTAGTGCCCCTACTGTGCACAACCCCTCCAAACATCCCAAACCGAACAACACTATACAATGTCGGGTTCTGGCAAAGGAAAAGAGAGGGAAGTTGTGGACGAGTCATTCGCTGTCTCACCATCCCCATCAGCGTCTTCCTCTTCAAAGCCAGTAGACACTCGTGTCACACCAACACCACAGGATCAGTTGCCTTCGGAAACCACAGAGGGCCCATCTCCATACGCCCAACTCATCAATCCTCATGTCTCAGTTGTAAGTGACTGAACTCCTTGTCCATCCCCCCATCCCCCCAAACCCCCATGCAGTGGCAACATTCCAACACAACCAGGACAACACAGAGGACGACACAGATTCAGCCCTAGGCGATGATGATGCCGCCAGCGACACCACATCAATCGCCTCTTCCATCTACAAAGGTCGCTTCGAAAATGGCCGCCGCTACCACAAGTACCGCGAAGGCGAAAACGACTACTGGGGCCCCAACGACGAAGTCCAAAATGACCAACTCGACATTGCCCACCACATGTTCCTGATCCTGCTCGGCCAGAAACTGCACTTGGCACCCATCAAAGACCCCAAGCGTATCCTCGATCTAGGCTGCGGAACAGGAATCTGGTGCATGGACATGGCAGATGGTGCGTCTTCTCTTCCTCTTTCTCACTCTACATGACGCCACACCCCTCCCCCCCCCCAAACAATCACCAAACTCGGCTCACGCTACACACCTCAGAACACCCCGGCGCCGAAATCATCGGCGTCGACCTCTCCCCCATCCAACCATCCTTCACCCCTCCAAACTGCAAATTCGAAATCGACGACGTCACCCTCCCCTGGACCTACTCCGCCCCTTTCGACTTCATCAACATCCGCGCTTTGTACGGCTCCATCCACTCCTGGCCCTCCCTCTACGCCCAGATATTCCAGAACCTCACCCCAGGCGGCTATCTCCACCAGCTCGAAATGTCAATCCAGTTTAAATCCGACGACGGCACCCTAACCCCTACGCACGTGCTGTCGCAGTGGAGCGACATTTTCCACGAGGCAAGCAAGCGCTTCGGCAAGAGCTTTTATGAAGTCTGGAATCTATCCACCTACATTCGTAACGCGGGCTTCCACCATGTAAACGAGTCCGTCTATAAGGTTCCTGTCAATAGCTGGCCGGCCGACCCGCACATGAAGGAGCTGGGCCGCTGGAACCTGCTGCATATTACCCAGGGCGCAGAGGGCTGGGGCCTGTTTTTGTTGACAAAAGTTATGGGCTGGAGTGTGGAGGAGGCCCAGGTTTTCTTTGCCAAGTTTCGCAATGGCGTCAAGGAAAGGAGGGTGCATGCCTATTTTGAGGTTGTCGTTATACATGCGAGGAAGCCATGAAATTTTTTTTGGATACATGGGAGATGATGATGATGATGGGGCAGGATGAGATGAAGACAAACATGATCTTTAAAGAAAAACATGAGAATAACAGATCTACATTTTTTTTTTCCAAAACTCATGGTTGTGATCGTTTAGGTTATTTATTAGATCATTACTAAAAAAAAAGAAATAACCAGGGTATACGGCACAAGGGGGAAAAACATCAATTTTAACCCGAAAAGAAAAGAAAACACGCCTTCTCATCCACACCTTCAGCGTTCTACTTCCCCCCAGACGGTGGCGCCGCTGGTGCCTCTCCACCCTTTGGATCAGGAAGATGCGACACACTCGGCAAATCACTCACACCCGGGGCCTGGCCCTCCTTCTCCCTGCCATCACTAATAATAAGCGGTTCCTGCGGCGGCGTCGCAGCCGACGGCGCACCCTCACCGTCTCTCGTCTTGATTTGCGACCCGAAAATCGAGTCGACGTCTCCGTTTACAGAAGGCGCGCCGCTGATATTGCCAGCCTGGCCTTCTTCAGCTGCAAGACGCTCCTTCTCAAGACGCGTTTCACGGCCGCGCTTGTGGCAGTACCAGAAGACGAATAGAAGGACTATTATGACGAGCAACGAATTAGCTTCACCTTGAATCTTTTGATGGTGATTTTTTTTGGCGCTTCAAAAGGGGAAGGGAGAAACATACCGAATACCGCCAAACTCATGATAACATTCGTTCCCGTGGCAAGAGCCGGGAACCTAAATTTCAAAAAGTTGATAATGCTCCGTAGCGCCGTCGCAACAGCGCCTTGGGCAGAAAGCAAAGACTTCAAGCTTGGGACTTGGGGCAGCATGTTTTTCGCACTCTTGAACTTGCTTCCCTCGCCAGCTGCTTGGGCGTCGAATCCGGGCTTCTCGGATGATGCAGCCATCAACTCTGGGCCGAGCGTAGCTGTGAGCTTGGCGGGCAGACTCTTGACTAGATTCTGTAAGAAGGGCGGGAGACTAGCGTACATCTTCTTGAGCTGGTTGTCATAGTCTGTAAAGAGCTTTTCGAGATCGTTGTAGGCTGTGGGGACACCGTTAACGAGGTCCTTGAGGACTTGGGTGAATTTGTTGAGGAGGTCTTCCGACTCTTTGCTGAAGCTGAAGACGCGGTTGTTGACTGCTGAGAGGTTCAGCTGGTCCAAGATTTCGGTAAGTTCCTTGTCCTGCTTCTGCGCGTCGGTGAGCTCAGCGGCTTTGGCGGCCTCAGCAGCGGCCTGGAGATCGTCTGCGAATTGCGCCCTATCTTTGTTCGTGACTACTCCTTTTTTGTCTTTGGACGACTTCTCTTTTGCCTTTTCTCCGTCCTTCTTGCCGAACTTGGGCAGCTGGAAGTAGGACAAGACGCTCTTTTTCCGGCCTAGGCCACCTTCTGCAGCCTTGCCTTTACCCTTGTCGCTAGTCTCAGCACCTGTCGCAGGTGGGCTTAAAGGAAGTGCAATCTTGTCTGCACCATCGATGAGTGCCTCCTGTGCATCTTTACCGGCCTTCTTCTCACCCACATCACCGGCTGCAGTTGTACGCTCAGGCAGAGGCGGAGGCGTACCCTCGGGCTCTGAAGCAATGGCAGCAAGTCGCTCAAGGAACTTCTGATCTTCAGGATCCAGTACAGGGTCACTGCCTACTTCCTCACTTGCTTCTGCAACTGTCGGAGCTGGCGGCTCGGGAATTGGCCCGCTAGGCTCTGCTGCGGCGGGCTCTTCAATCTTGGGAACAGCGGCATCTTCTACTTTCGGTGTCATGGACTCAGAAACCTTGGGAGGGTCTTCGATTGGCGGCGGTCCGGGCTTCTGTTTACTTTGTGGGAAAAGCTGCTTTGACTGCCGACGCACCTTTTCGAGATAGGACGCCATAGTCGATGTTGATGTGTGTATACGTTGGGTTGCGAATGGAACAAAGGAGGGGTTGGGCTGAGGATGGCGATCGTAGCGGGAGAGGCTTCGTGCGTAGAATAAAAGAGGGCGAAACAGCTTGCACGTGTCAATTTCAGCGGCGATTCTAGAGGCTCGGCGGTGCTCAGGATGTCGTCGAAGGCGACGTCGAGACCCTGATTGTTGTGCCGCATTGACGGGAGGTAATGCGTCATCGGCAGGGGTGGTTGTGCTAAGATCTGCGCCACTGCACCATCCCTGCTTCTCTACAACAAAAACAAACTTGAAACTACGACCTAACTTCTTACTACCGGCAACCTTTTTGTATGTTATACATCTTGGTTCGTTGTTTGATTCAGGACTACTTTAAAAAAGCTCAGAGAGGCTGTTTTCAATGATGATATCATATCTTGACACTACGTTCTGGCCATGTATCACGTGTTTGGATCTGGAGAGGCTCTACAACTAAGTATGCTATGTCCACTGGCTCTAGGTTCCTCAGTTCGTGAGGTCGCATTTTTTCGATATTTCTAAATGATAAAACACATTTTACGGACTAAATAGTCTCTACATATCAACACTGCCGTCTCTAACGAACTGTCATTACCAAACAGCCGCTGACCAGGAGCAAGATACGATTGTAGCTTTAAAGAACCCAACATCCCGACACTCTCCAGATTTCCGTTACATCCACTTCGAATTTTATCTTGATTCTGCCAAAGATGAAGAAATGCAATTCCTAACCCGTAGCAGAGCAGCTATGGTAGCATCACAGGAACATCCATAAGAAAACTCGAAATCGTGATGGAGGTGCCAGAGTGAATATGACTGCATGATTCATGGAATGCTTGGGCTTCCAAGGACTACATTCCCAATTGTGATTTAGATACAAGTCCACCAATAAAGCATCGAAACTTATGTATTAGAATGATCAAAACAAAATGCATTCTATGATGAGATACCCTTCCAACCCAAAACCTAGGATACTAACATGAATCCTTACCCTCCAAAATTGATAAAGAAACCCCAGAATGCAAACGCCCTACATGCACCTCCACATTTCCCTCCCTCCCACATTCCCACCGGACTACCAACTCTCCCACTTCTGTCCGCCCATAGCAATGAGCCGGTTAAACAGCTCATCTCTTAACGGTAACGCCATAATCCGGTACTCGTTAAACTTGGAATCAGTAATAATCAAGCCATCCGCCAACTCGCGTTCCATAACCCATCCCACCACCATCTTGGCCTTCCATCCAAACCCACCCACCTTCTTGATTTCGATAATGTCGCTGACAGGTACACTCCACAAAGGATGCAAGTCCTCTCTATCGACGCTGCCAATCTTCTCAATCGTCTTGTCAGTCGAAAAGGCAATGCAGGGGATCGTGGATTTAGTAGCGATATACGCGTGTCCCTTTCTGCCATCGAATCTGGCTTTGAATTCGACGGGGCCAGATGTGAGATCGGCGTTTCGGGGTGGGAGGGCACCCAGTCTGTTCTTTGCGTGTATGGAGCCAGCTGCCGCTTTGACTTTGTCGGCGCCCCTTGTGGTCTCGACGGCGCCTTTGGCGGTGCCGCGGAAGAAACTGAGCATCTTGCTGCCCTTCTTGACATGCTTGCTATCTTTTGCGGGGCCTTCGCCGCTCGCTTCGTGTCCCACTTCGGGGTCGTATGCGATGGCGTCGTCGAGCTCTTCTTTTGTGGCATTGAGTGCCCTATCTACGCCCATGGCACGAAGCTCTTCTGAATCAACATTTGCGGTTTGTTCTGCTGGTGGATGCGTCATATGTGGAGGAGGCGGTAGTGGAGCTTTGTTCGCTTCGCCAAGTCGGAGCAAGGTGATTGTGAGTTGAGCGTTGGTCGGAACGCCTTTAAGAAGCGTATTACGGAGTTCGAGTAGTTTCTTCCACTTGGGAAACTTCCTGTCAAGAAGTGCAAGTCCTCGTTGGATGACTGGGTCGCCGAAAAATCCGAATCCAATACCGAATGTAACACCCTTCATAAAGACATAAGACGATACAAACAGCGAGATGAAAATCATGGGAGCGACAACTGCTCCAAGACGAAGCCGAAACTTGTTTTGTGGGAATGGAGGAGTTGGGTCAAGCATACTGTTCAAAAGTCAGTAGGCGATCAACTTTCCTTGTTGCAGCACACTCACTTCGCAAAGCGTTCCCAGGTGTCTGCAACGTCTGAAACCGCATGCATGATTGGCCTCATCTTGCTCCACATCGCAGTCTCCATAGGTACTCTAGTCTTATCATGGTCCTTGTCGGGCTTATTACCAGAAGCTTTGTCTTGGGCATGGGCAACACCCAGGGCAAGTCGAGTAGTATCTGGGATGTCACTATCAGGCGAATCTTCTTCTTTAGGTTCGACCTCAGCTTGTTTGCCAGTCGCACTTGACAGCGCAATCGTGGCGAAGCCGTAGACGAAATTAGTAGCTTCTTGCTCTACAGCTTCACCCTTATGGTTTTCAGGTGCTCCAGTAACGCTGTCGACGCTTCCAAGAGTTCCTGATTTTGGCTTCTGAACACCCCCACTGGAGCTTACGAGAGCGATAGGGGCTGGAGGAAACATTACTTCGCGAGCAGGTGGATGAACAATTAGCGTCAGCAGAGTGACTGATAGTAAAGGCATAATCATGTCAAAGGTCCAAGCGGCAAAGTACGCGGAACAAAACCACGCAGTACGACGTGTCTCTCTCCATGATCGAATGCGAGCAATGTGCTTGGCAAATCCGATTATGCCGATGATCTAACACGGTTAGTCTACATGTACTATCAGGCTCCTAGTCTGCAAAACTTACGATAGTCATATAGATGCGCTCAAGATTAGCACGAAGCTTGTCCGGAGTAAACTCTTCTTCGTCGGCAACATTAAGATCTAAGCCTCCAGGAGGTGCTGTCGGTATCTGTTTGACTTGATATATTTGCTATGAAGAGTTAGCATGAGATCGTGTCACGTTGAACATGCATGCTTTTTACCTTGTTAAAACGCCGAACAAGCATCCATACATGCTCATTGTCGAGCCCTCCCACGAGAGGCTTGGCGACATGTTCTTTTGGCTCATTCCATCCCAAGTCCACAACCTCTTTTTG